TTATTGTGCTGGTATATTCCCTCTATCCATCCTGAGAAACTTACTCAGACGTATTCCTGGATCATCCTTGGCTTGGCTGTCATATATAGAACACACACACACACACACACACACACACACACACACACACAGGAACTAATTAAAAAGGAATACTATTTATATTTAGATTTGGATACATAGGAAGTTCATTTATCTTCCTCAAACTTGTACTTCAATAAAGCGCTTTGATTGCTTTAGCATTTTTAAGGTTGGCCAGATTCATATATACATTACATGTCATCTAATAGGTAATATAAACATGTTTAAATCTTTATTAATGATCCTCATTAGCTCTTCATGACTATCCATGATACCCAATTAATAAAATTAAACCAACATTTTTTTACGACAATTTATAGCTCCTGACCCAACCATAGATGTGAACGGCCTTAATTAAAAGGTTTAATTTAATCAAATTCTAAATGAGATCTATATTCTTTGTTGAAGATGGTCGGTGTAATAAGGTATTCTGTCCCTGTGAAATGAAATCTGAACCGCAAGCAAAGAGCTAGCGTATGGGTTTGATTGAGAATGACCTCTCTCGTCAATAATGTTAAGGTCGAGGTTCAAGCAAGTGCAGAGGGGTCGTAGGAGATGTATGGAATAAAAGCAAGAAAACGACATGTGGGTACTAAGATTCTGAGAAACCAATAAAGATGCAGAATAAAACAGGCGACAACTGGAATGAGTGACACACAAATCTATATTCCATGGAGGAAATTTGGTATATAATTGAACCAAACAACTTGCAAGTCAAATGAGTTTTGGATTTGCGAGAATAGCATCTTCATCTCTAACAATATGCACCGACATGCTCATTAGGCTAGCTAGCTGACCGTTGACAAACCAACCAGCCATGTGCCCAAAATTCTCTGACTGATTATAATGGTTGGTTCAATTGGTAGCTATATAGCATCAAGTTTTAGTGGTGTCCAAGTTTTTTCATTCAGTTTAATTTGAATGATAATTATTTCAAATCAGATCCTTTTCAGCCTCACTTCGTGCAATTTTCTTTCAAGACGGAATAATTTGAACCATTTAATTTGCGCAATTGAATAGCTTAATTTATGCTAACATGGCCTTAGAATTAATGTTTTATTAAATCAAATAATGCGTTTTGTGTAGCTTCAGCTGTAGCTTCTTCAACTGTTAGGATTTAACATTTGAATGGTAGTCAAGATGAGTTTTAAAGTTTCATCGATTAGGGTGAAACTTATCAAAAATTACTTATGAATAAAACTAAAATGAATACTCTCTCTGGACCACCAGAGCCGTGTCTATTGTTAGGCCTCAAATAAAATTGCTTATACTCTGTATAATTCCAGTCATTATTTTTATTGTTAAGTCATTGTTCATTCAGAGAGGTAATAGTAACATACCGCCAGAATATATAAAATGGACGGGGATAACTTTGTTAGTATCTAACAATTCTTATTTCTCCCTCAATTGCTGCTATCATCATTTTTTTAAAAGGAAATATTACTCTGCTGCTCAAACTTGTTGCATTGTCATTCATTTGCCAAATAATTTCTACTTATTGGAATTTTTAGCTTGCTCTCTAATTGAAATTAAAACAAAAAACACTAATAATATATTTAAGATGGCGGCCACTTCAGGTGTATTTGTTACATTTTTACTGTTTATATTACTTTTTTATCTGAAATTATGATTTATTTTAAATTTTTTATAGCCTTTAGAATGGTAAAAATGTCTAATAAAAAATTTGAATACACCAGTCGCCTCAAAATAATTTCATCTTAGGCCCTAAAACTTCTTCATGCATCCCTATGGATCACAATATAGGCATCTTCTAAAAGCCTTGCTTATTCCAACATATGGGCAATAGGCAGTTTTTATAATTATTACTCTTTTTAAAAAATAATTTTAATTTGTTGTGATTATGCACTTATATAAGTTATTTAACAAGGATATAATTAAAAAGATGTAGAATTAAGAATAAAAGTTTACCTAACTTTTTTTAAAATCATAGAGTAGTTAACAATGCTCGATATTTTAGTTTAGAGGGATTTTTTTTTACCAAGTGGCTTAGTAAAAAAAAAAAATTGGCCAAATGAGAAGGTGGTTCTTTCTTTAATTTGTAAAGCAATTAACTAGAAGGGTCTAGGGAATAGTAGCACATTCCCAAAATATTAAACCAATATCCGGATGTGAAAAACAGTTCATCTATTTTGCTTCACAGTTCACAAGATATATGTTACGAAAGCATGCATGTGCCCTCTTTGTTATCCAAAAGGAACCCACAAGACTGGAGATAACTCTTTATTTACTGTTGTGTGTTCACTGTATAATTCTCCTAGAATGTCTCGTTCTATTCCAAATTTTTCGTCTTTCTTAATCACCTTTTTCGCTGGAGGCATCGCACTTGACTTTTTTTAAGGGAAAATTTCACTGCACTCCTCTATCAAACTTACTGAAAATCAAATCTCTTAAAATTCTGAAATATTAATTCAATTTTTGTCAGTCCCATTTGAACTAAATTGAAGTTAAATTTTTAAGAGAAATGACACAAATAACATCAATCCCCTCTAACAAGAACAAGTGACATAGGGAATGAGTAATTAATTAATTTAACTTAATATTTATAAAGAGTTGTTTTTGTCGGATATATATTTGACTTCATGATTCCCATACCAATTCAATCTAAGAGCCTTAGCTTATCTGGTTCATTGCATCTCAATAAGTCCCATGAAAAACAATATTCTTGTGTGGACGTTAAAATTCCTAGCCATTGGGTTTAGCTTTAGTCCTGATTAGTCACTATTAATTCACGAAGTGGTTGGTATCTAGATCCCACCATTATCCACTAATAACAGTAATCAAATTAAAGTTATAAGAACCATTAGCGTCTCTCATATTTATCCATACGATCCATTATCTTTCTAATTAACCAGATCATTAACATTACTCCCACCTGTCATTGAGCCATGCGGATATCACTCTTGGCTCTAATTCAGTATTTGGTATGTCCCTCATTAATTAGAATATAGTATAATTACTTCCATATCTATTGACAAAGCAAAAGGTATAAATTAACGAGAGAGAGAGAGAGTTCTTTTCAACATGGTGGGAAGTACTCAATTTTTTTTGGTTGATCCCTTGATATTTTTATTAAAATTTTGTCGAGTGAAAAAAGTGCTTTATATGTGTTATGCTTTTGTAAGCCAAATCAACTTATGGCTGGTTTATCTTTTCAAACGAGGAATTCTAAAAGATTTGAAAATGTCCATTTTGTGTAATAAAATATGGTCCCTGCCCGACAAGGCCAATGATTCCCAGGTTACTTGAACAAATACTCCCTCCATTGCAAGTGAAGTAAAAAACCCCACATTAACAAGAAGTACACAAACTTAAGTTAGAAAAATAATTTTAGTCTATTGTTGCTTAATCAAATGAACTTTAATTATTCCGCCTTAATTTGCTACCGCCATGATCACCTTAAAGACCAGAGCGAACCAAAATCATGGTGGCATCTCAACTTTCTTTATTCATTCGATTTAGTTGGATTACGACAAACGAACATGATGGTGAATAACTCATTCATTCAACTATTGGAGGTTCCGGATAAACCAAAATGAACAGTGTCACAGAAATGATTTACATTCTCACAAAACTGATATGCACGTCGAACATTCTCAATATCCGCATCCAAAAATTTATTTACCTACGCGGTAGCCTTGTGTGTTAGGCAAAGTTTGAAAACGACTTATCAATAATATAAATTTTTATAAATATTGATCACTTCAAACTACTTTATATTTTAAAATCATCAATATATTTTTTAGCGTGAAAAATATAAATGCACTGTAACTATATCAAACTTGAAGCATAAATCCCATTAATATTCTCGACTTGGGCTAAATTTAGTACAGTGATAAGTGAACAAAAATGTTTTGGATAGAACGCATCCACGGCTAAACCACTCACTCAGACAATTCCGGCTCCACTAAGATTTAACTGTCATCATCAATTCATTTCCCACAAAAAGGTTGAAGGTATCTCAAATACAAAATAGGTCTGGTGAACATAATCTTATTTTGTCTAGTCATATGTAGTATCACTATTTCTTCACATCCGTTTAAGACAAAAAATTATCATTCTTTTATCGTCCTTCTCACCCCCTCTGCTTTCAAGTTTATGTGATGTTAATCATCATTACAACCACCCTCAAAATCAACAACCAACTGAAAACAATATAATAAAATGCTAACTGCAGGGCAACAAAGTCTTAACACCAAATGTCAAAAGCTAAAAATCAACACAGCTACGTACTATAATAAATGATATTTTCAATCTCACTTTTCAATTAAAAAATTATTTATTTTTAAATTAATTTTATATTTTTATATTTACTTCTGTTTATATCCTAAAAAAATAAAATAAGTTATTTTATAGATATATTTTAAAAAAATAATAATTATATTTTAAAAGATTAAAATTATCTTTTATGTTTTAACTAACAACTCTTTAAAAAATATTTTAAATTTTTGAACGAAAGAGTATATAATTATTCGAATCATCTTGGGAGAATCATATAAATTATTCATCAGGGCATCTAAAACAATTCAAAATCAATTAACAGTCAGCTGATGGACAGTAAATGGTTGGCTTGAAACCCGGATGGGGCAATCAGGTAAACAAATCCTTATCCCTGATATCTTCGGGGCTAGGTGGGGTGGTCTCAGTGACGGTGAAGGATCAAATTAAGAACGGAGGAGCAGACAGCAGTAATGGCTGAGGTCAAAGATTTGAGGAGGGGGGGACATGTGGCAGATGGGTTTGGCGGCAGGCATCGAGTCCACTTGGGACCCAACAAGACACCCATGTGTCGACGAGGGAAAAGGATGGAATTGAATGAGAGCACATGGGTGACAGCATATTTTTTGGGCTTATAAATAACCTTCCTCAGCTCTTCCATCCTTCATACACATCCTCTTCTTCAATCTTCACGTGCTCTCTGTTCTTACCTTCTGCCACTTTCTCTGCAAATCTTATCCGTTTCCTTCTTTTTCTCGTTACGCACCATACTTATCATCGAACTAGTAGTTTTGTTCGTTGGTTGACAGAGAAAGCTCTCTCTTTTAAAAACGCCCTCCTCTAATATTATTATACCCTCACAACCTTGCTTCTTCTCTTCCCATGGAGAACAAGAACAGCTGCAAAAACCATTTCGGAGGGTCCTCTTCAGCCACGAATTTTGATCAGCTTTTTGGTCCCAAGGACCCCTCATCTTCCTTCTCATCCTCCTCCAGCATCTTCGGCTCCATTTTTCCTCCTCCCTCAGCTGTATGCATCTTTTTTCTCAATTTAGAACCCTTCTAGCTTCTTCTTTTCTGTTTACTGCCAAAGCATACATATTACTAGTGGTTGCTTTGTCGTTCTAATCTGATTCAGTCAAGAACTGTTCTTTTACCCTTAGTTTTTCCAAGGTCAAAGGACGCAGCTTCTCCTTTACGGTGACATTATACTTTTTTCAGCATAATACACCATAAAGATGATTCTTCTCCAAGTCACCATATATATATATATATATATATACATTCAGCGACTACACTTTGCTGCAAGTCATCTTGATTCCATACTCTAGCAGTCATTAAGTTTGTATAGCGTGCATATGCCACTTGTTTCGAAGTTTGATGCGAACTATTGACGGCATATATGTAGTTCCTTTTAATTCGTGACGCTTCCTGATTTGTGCTATTTGTTATATGCTTATACATATATAGTTATGCACTGAACCTGGTACCTTTTTCTAACTCAGGTAGGAGGGAGTGAATCGAGAAAGCAAGATGTGGGAGACAAAAATTATGGACCACAAGGTTCGTCCTGAATTTTCCTCCGATACCTTTTTATTCTTTTTACGACTAAGACCCATCTGGGTTATTTAAAGGAATTAGTTTAGTATGTCTACAGCAATTCATACTGCTATACCTTGTTCAGTCCATGGATGGATCTGCACAGAGTTTGGTCCCAAATGTTGTGTGCATAGTTACGATGGAGCATATTTATGGGTTTATATAGTCCAATATGTCGGAACTTATTTGGTAATGAACTAATGATCTCAGTTGGATTTGTGTCAGGTGGCAAAGGTGAAAGCAGGGGTAGCGTATCTGGCAAGAATTATCAGAATGAGAGTACAATGGAGCCCAGCAACTACTACACCTCATCCATCTACTATGGTGGTCAAGAAAATTATTTCCCAAAATCCAGGACCACTGATTCCCACCATAATGTTAGTTTCTTTTCTGAGTGTTCTTTTATATATTTGGTCTCTATCATATTGTTGACGTATAGGGATATATGAAAATCTGCTTTGATGAAAATCTAGTTAATTCCCAGGGGATTGTTCTCAGATGTATACTATATGTAAAAATCTATATGTATTAATGCATGTAATTTATAAATAACTAGCTGGTTTGTCTATATCATGATGAGTAACACTAATTTTGTTGTTTCAAAGTAAGTCTTGAAAGTCAAACACCTTTACAAAATTTTGATTATATTTTCCATCAATACATGCATCCATATATTGTAATAGATTGAAAGTCCGCAAATGCAATTATGCATATATAATTTATTGCATTTATCTTCTCCTGGGACATTTTGATCAACCGGCCAAATTATACGTAACATTTTGATTTGAAATTCAAATTTGCAGGTTAAGAAAGATTCGGATAATGATGATCCCAATGGGGACAACCCAAATAGCGCTTCAAGGGGAAATTGGTGGCAAGGTACAGTAGACCAAGCGATCAAAAGATTTGAAAGAATCTAGAAAGTAAAAGACAAATATTATTCACTAGAATTAAACTTTTGGTTCACCCTCGTTATTTATTTCCTCTGTGTTTTTGCAGGCTCCCTTTATTATTAGCTCAACCCTATATATATTTTAAAAAAACTCACCGTCCTGACCAGGTATACGAACTTTGATTTGCAACTAGCTAGGTGCTATATTCCTTCAACATTTTCTGAATGTGTTTCTTCTTCTTCTTCTTCTTCTTCTTCTTCTTCTTCTTCTTTTTTCAAGGATAGGTTTGTGCAAATAAAACATAGTGCGGCATGCTACATAGAACTTTGACGACAGCAGGTAGTTTCGAAGGCGGGTCCCTAATAGCCACTGTAGCGGGCAATCAAATGATCGATCCTGCGTACAGAAGTCAACAGACCTTGCACCATTTTAATATTAGTAGTGTGGGTATAACTAATCTTAACGGCTTAACCTATGGACTTAAAACATTATATGTGTACTGTATATACTATATAGTCGTCTAGCCCTAAAGACATGGAAATTGTAGTAGCTCACTATGCTAATTTCAAGTTTCCCTGTTTCGTGTGTGTACGTGTATATATGTGCCTCCTTATATCATATGTCTAGCTATAATGCTTTGCTCCAAATATCAAAACAAAGCGAATGGATTCTCAATAGAGTATGTAAATTCTCCACATGCATATATTTATATGAAATATAAGATTTATAAAACTCAATAATTATAATTCATAAACAGTGTGATTCTTAAACACTATGTAAGTCAAGGATTTAATCTGATTGAAATAAAGACTACTGAAGAGATGAAGACAAATATATATCGCGCGCGCAGGGTTTGAAGGGAGAAGACAAAAATGTATGCGGACACAAGTTATGTGTTGTGCATGTATCTGTGTCTGTGTGTGTAGGTCTAGGACGAGTGGTTGGGGGAATTGGTGGTGAGCAAGTTGAGCTTCTTCGTTTTACTTTATTAATCACTTTTTAAAAAAGTAAAAAATTTTATTTTATAAATTATTGAATTAATAGTAATGTTTTATTTTAAATAAAATATTAAATTAATTTTAAAAAGTAAGAGAAAAAATAAAATAATAATATTATATAATTTATTTATTTTTTGAAGGTCATGTTTGTAATTTTATTAAAATTTATTTTTTATATTTTTATTATATTAATATTAATAAAATTGATAAAAATAAATTATAAATAGAATCGAGAGAGAGAGAATTCAAGAGATAAGGATATGGTAGAGTACCTGTACTAACATGGATGTTTCAGTGTTTTGATATTTCGCCTTTTAATATGTGGGCACCGGGCATTATCGTCGTCGTATCAGCCATATGGCTGGGCTCCATAACCCCTCCCACCAAAGCATGAATGAATAAATAAGTAAATAAATAATCATTGTACCATCCCGCGATGAATGCCTCTTGACCAAACTATTTTGTTCAAATACTTCCCTAACCGATATATATGCCGTCTCCGTATTGTCCTTCTTAATTTCAAGGGTTAAAAAATATGTGATATCTCTTTTCTTGTCTTTTCTTTTCTTTTCTTTTTTTGAAATTTTAAAAACTAGCGTTAGATATTTATGAACTTTAATTTAAATCCTATTCATATGAAGTCATCCAAAATAGATATTAAGAAACTATCAATGATGGAACATCAAAATATCAAAAGAAGGCAGCTCTTATATATATGTTCCAAACAGTTAACACATCCTCGTCAAATCAATATTTTCTTTATATTTATTGTGGACTTGAAGCAAATTTATTAGTTATATTCAACTTCAAAACAAGGACCGGGCAATTGGGAACCATCGGCAAGGTCTAAATAATAATATTAGAAGTTCGTGGTATGACAAATTTTGAAATCGACAGAGACATTGGTTCAAACAGATTATGGGCATATACTAAATGACTAACTAGAATAACACGAATATTCACGAAAAATCTGGGTAATCGTTCTGCCATGGAAGCTGAACTTTGGGCAGCATTATGGGGTATCAGAATTGCGAAGGAGTTGGATTTCAAATTAGTGATTGTGGAGGGAGACTCAGCCATGGGGATCAGCATGTTGAAGAAACTACAAGATGAAGAAGCTGCTGGGTAGTTCGCTGTTGAGATTAATTGCTGCTGAATTTGGTACAGGTTGGAAGCCTGAATTTAACCATACATATAGAGAAGGCAATGCTTGTGCAGCTTGGCTCGCAGTTTTTATTTCAATTTTTCGTTGAGGCGCTTTTTGAAGCCTCCTGTTGATTTACTGGATCTGTTGCATAGAGATGTAGTGGGGTGTGATACCTCGAGAGACATTCTGATTTAAAATCGGCGTTGGCCTCTTTTGTTATCCAAAAAAAAAAAAAAAAAGAATAACGAATATTCATAAATTCCGCCTGATGATTGAGAACTTCGATGACTAGGTCTGTTAATATTTTCGTCTCACAATGTTTTGCTCATCTGAGCAAATTTATCTTCCGGAATCTTTGATCCCTGCATATAAACTTCTAGGTTTTGCTCATTTCATCTGCCAATTTCTGTTCCTCAATTTCTTTGCTCACCAACATCTTGCGAGAGAAACGCTAAAGGTGACCACAACAAGGAGCATAGAAATCAACCAAGATATGATCAAAGGCTGAGATGGCAAAAGGGGCAGGGGTAAAGTTGAGAAAGACGCTAGAATTTTGGCCCTTTCTTGTTCTCATTATAGAGGTCAACAAGTCAGAGAGATACGAAGACCACAGAGTGTGACGCTGTTGGTTTGTGGACTGTGGAGACAATTATGGCCTCTAGTGGAGCTTTGTGGATATATATATATATATATATATATTAGCAAAAAGAGGAGGGGGGAATAAAAATGAAGTAAGAGAAAAGAAAAACTCCTAAATTCTTGTAACATGCCTCGTGTTCTCGCTCCTTATAATATAAGATTAAGGGTCAATTTTACTCTTCAATTGTACACGAAAAAATCACTAGCGCCAATAATGTAATGACCCAAAAATTATAAGTAAAAAAAAATTAAAAACATTATTAATTAATTAAATATGTTATAATGTGTGTTGATTGCAAATATATTAATTTTTGGGACAAATATGACAAGAAGGAAAGTTGGTGTAGTGGTGACTGTGCAAGGATTCTCTTAATAAATCTCAAGTTCAAATCTGATGAAGGCCAAAGGAAGAGTTATTTTTGCCTTTTTGCTCTGTAAAATTATCAAACTGTCCTTCTATCAAATTTAATATATTCTCCTCTCCTTCTTCGATTTTTTAAGAAATATTTAAGAGTAAAAATATATCTTAATTATAAAGTTTTTGTAAATTAAATTTATAATTTTATTGCAAGCTCCTCACCCACCTGATACACTGTAACTCTGACGTCCATAATCTATTTTTTATTGAGTTCCAACTCATAACTTAAAATAAATAAATAACAATAAAATCAAGGCACAACATGGGGGAGAAAATGGTAATAGCAACCTCTGGATAATGATAAATTGATAATCCAAGTTGGATACAGTCCTGGAATCAGGACCTGAAGTAAGGAAATGTAAGGTAATTTAATTTAAAAATTAATATTTTTAAAAAATAATAATTTAAATAATTAAAAATAATAATTACAGTAGGACTATAATTGTAATAATATAACCAGGTTGATCATTGTCATTCTTTTTTAAAAAAATTATATTAAATATTTTGATAAGATCTTTTATATAAATATGTTCTTTATATCTCATATCAATTATTAAAATTTATTAAGAATAAAAATTCTTCTAAGTAATGCTCTATATTAGAAACTGGAGGGAATTTATCGTTATATCTAGATTTAGTTGAAATTGAAATGGTGGGAAAGTTTTAACAAGAAGGAAAATTACATGCACACATACATAATTTAAAACAAATTATACTTTCTCTATCTCAAATTATAAAATACTTTTAAATAAAATTTTACATATTAATAAATTTTATTAAATACACTTAATAATTTTATCTTTTTAAAACAAAAATATAAACTTTTAAAATGTTCATCATTTAATATATTAAAAAGAAAAATGAATAAAAATTAATTATAGAGAGAGAAAGGGTAATATAGAAATTGATGCATTTAATAAAATATTAACATACTCAAAGTATCTTATGTTTTGAAATAGAAAATTTTTTTTAAAAGTAGCCTATAATTTAGAACGAAGGAAGTATTATTTATAGAGAGAATGACAAAAAATATATAATTAAGATATTTTTCATGATTTATATATTGATTGTTCTCAGCTAGTATATTTGAATTTTCAGTGTTTGCAATTAGTAAGTTTGCTACTTTTACTCAATTATGAATAAATTATTCTCCTTTAGCATGTCAGATTCAAGTAATTTTAACTCATTCATATTTTATTATTATAATTGATATTTCTAGACTTTGTGAGTTATTATACTGAATTATTTTCCTTTCAATAATTTCATATAATAGTAAGTTTATTATTTTGCTCTTTTAAATTTTATTTTTGAAAATGCTATTCACTAAAAAATATTTTGGTCTCAAATTTATTAGCTGATGGTGGACCTCTTGTCGACCATTAAGGGCTTGCAATTGTGCTGGATAAATATTTATCTTTGTAAATACCTTCTCTTTTAATGTAAATATTCACTTATATGTTTTATTTTGAAATTCATACTTTAGGTGCTCCACATTAAATATAGTTAGAATCCTGATTTTTGTTTTATTATATTGACTGTTTGTGTCTGAAAAACATAGTTCCAATCTATTGAATGCATATTATAATAATTTTTGTTATAGAGATTTCTAAAGATCCTATTTATAAAAGAGATTTTACCAAAATTTTTATGAAAATATTAAAACTTTCATTAGAACAAATATTATTAAAGATGTCATAATTTCAACACAAATCTAATTATGCATTTGAAAGTGAAAAAATTTCTTGATTTAAGACTTAAGGGATGTATCATATAATTTATATCATACGTCAGTCACCTTCTATTTTGAGAGTCTGATAAATAAACTTTACTTGAGATAATTTTATCTCTTAACCTTTAAAATTGAAATCATCATGTTCCTAAGGATCTATTTGATTTAAAGAGAGGGGAGGAAAGGAAAAGGGAGGAGAACTCCTCCTAATTTAAAGGAAAGAAAAGAAAAAATTTTAAAAATTTTTCACAAAAAAGAAGGGAAAAGGCTCCCTTCCTCCAAACCAAATGAGGGAGGGGAGGGGAGGTCCAAACACCCTTTTAGGTTAATTTGTCCTCATCTGCCATTAACGGTCCCACCAGCTGGCATTTTTTATATATTTTTTACCTTCTCTCGGGGACTACTCTGTCTCCGCCCACATTACCTCTCTTACTTCTCTCTCTCCCCCCTGCTCGCAGACGTTTCAAACTCTGTTAGCCCTAATGCTTGAGTTGCTTCCCACTAACTAGTTCACATGGATTCCCATTTTCTTGTAGTTCAACAACTCCCCATCCATTCTGTCGCAAAACATATATATATAGAGAGAGAGAGATATGCATAATGCAGGAGAAGATTAAGGTAGTAGATATGGAAGCGTGTGTGTATATATACATACA